AGTTGAATAGTGACAGTTTGGCCCTTATCGCGCCTTAAATGACCATTTCATCTTTCTGTCTCCTTTCTCTTGGTGGAACCTCCCTCTGGTGCATGACATCTAAAAGGGCCGTCAGCTTTTTTCCAGAGGCTTGTGTCCCAAGGCAGAAGAAAGGCCTGGCGATCTTTAAGAAAGATCTGAGGAAACTCTGTGGAGCAGTTCTACCCTGAAATTAACACAGGGGCTGCTGTGAGCCTTGCAGGCGCCTGGAACCTATCAGATTTGATTTGCATACTAGGAGAGTGCACATGTTCTCTGGAGAGGTGCTGACCAGCGGGGTCTTCTGTCCAGCTGGGATTGCAGCTATAGAGAGATCCTTATGACATCTTTTTCCTTGCCTGTTTTCACTGTTGGTTGTTTTAAAGGGGTTTGTTTGGATTAATTAACTGTGGGGCTGAGGAGAGCTGTTCCCACAGCTGCAGTGGGTAAGGTGCAGGGATCTGTGGCGGCAAGGTGGCCTTCGTGTGTCCCTGAGCGAGGAGAGGGTTGATGCTCCAGCCCTGGCCGAACTTCACGGATTCCTTGTGCTCACAGCCACACATCATGCTGCAGAGACTGAGGAAGAAATGCCAGGAAATGACTGCTCCAGGGTGGAGGCAGGCCCCTCCCCGAGGACGACTGGGGCATCCCAGCACCGTGCGTTCACCATCATCCACTTCCTTCCCCATGTATTCATGAACTCATGGAGGTCTCGGCCGTAGAAATACAGGAATGCAGTAAGAAAGACTTTAAAGACTTCTTTTCATCATATTTTTATTTCCTTCCTTTTTCTAAAAAGAAAAACTTGGTTCAGGATTTCTCTCCCTGCTTCTCATTTGCTGGTCGCACGACCCTTTTCCTACCAGCCTCTGGCACCATGGCCCAGGATAGATCTGAAGGGCACCTCAGAGATTCCTCTGTTCAGATTTAGCAAACTCTTAGGATTGATATGAATATGATGGTTTTATCGGGAATAAAATAATCTGCTTCTAAACGCAAGCGGTTTGAACAAATGCTACTCAGTTTGTTTCTTTAAATCTACAATGTTACTCCTGTTTTTCCTCTGGTGCCAAGACTCTTAGCTGCAGGCCTCAGTCTTCCTTTGAGGGAGCTGCCCCTACCCTGGATAAATCACTTCCTCGCATTGTCTGCCTCAGTCAGTGAGACAGGGAGAGGCCTTTAACTCTGTGTGACCCTGAGCATTATTCTTTATTCAGGAGAGTCAGTCACAGCTGAGTCTCTGAGTAGTGCGAACAGTTAACAGACTCAACTGCTAACCAAAAGGTTGAAAGTTCAGACCTACCCAGAGGGAGGAGAACTTGATCTGCCTCTAGAGAGTCAGCCATTGAGAAGCCCATGGTGGGCAGGTTTCTGATATACATGGGTCACCACACTTTCTAGGTAACTTGCTGGAAACTGGTTGTACTCAGACTGCCCACTGAAGGAGCCCTGGTGAGTAGGGTCCCTGTAGGTTTTGGTAGGGTGTCTGGTTTTATTTTCAAACCATCAATAACTGCAAGTTCTTTTTCATCTTGTCACCACAAGGGATGGCCTGTCTGCCCGAAGCATCTTCAGAATAGTAAAATTATAGTTATGTGTACTTGAGGATGGGCGGAGGTGTGTGATTGGTTAAAGTAAATGACATTCTTATTCTGTGAGACTTACCAGCAGACAGCATACACAGTCTCCTGAGAAAGCAAGTAGACACTGCATAGCCTTTTCTGTGAGGTGCTGGGAGAACTGTCCCAGTGCTCTGCTCTTTGCCCTCACAGTAGTGTGGTTACCCACTGAGGAGCACAGATACGGATAAAAGGCAGTAAGTTTTGCCTGATGAGAAAATCAGAACTAGACCTGGAAGACAGAGCCGTCCCCTCTGAGGCCTTCCATCCTAAATCTATACTTTCATTATTGATTTTGAGAACTAACCCCAGGGCCACTCAGTGACTCGGTCCAGCTGGCCTTCACCCGGTCTGCAGCTCTGCCTAAGTGCTTTCCAGACACAAGCCCATCTTCAGTGAGAAGCACTATGCTCTTTCCCCAGCCACCTCATCCCTGCATGTGCACACCCACCAAGATTCCACCACGGGAGACCAAGTTTGTGCCTCCCCAACTCACCTGCCTTTCAGGGGCTGCATGTGGCAGCTGAGGACGTGATCGTCCTGCCACAGCCCAGCCTGCTGCCTTGCCTGTAGCTATTAGTTGTGAATAATTCTTTCTGGCAGATTCTGACAAGAGGTTACTCAGTTGGCTGAGTATTGAGTTAGTTGATTGCTCCAATTATGTCTAATTATGCCCAGTCAGTGTTTGGTTTTGCTTCCAAGTTGCCCTGGCTTTTAATGTAACACAGTATCTGAGTTTAAAACTAGTTCCCCAGACCAACCAAACACAGGCTGCCCAGCTCTGATGTAGCCAGTACAAGGAAAGAAGAAGGGAAAAAAATAAAACTCCACATACAACTCACTGACCACATGTCGAAGAGTCTTCAGTTGAGTCACTGACCTGTTTGTTCCAGAGCTCCATCTTGATGTAAAATAATCCAGGATCACTTTTTTGGTTTTGCCAATCCTGTTACCATGGCCAAAAGATTACCTACCATTCTTTTGGCTTCATAGCTTTGTTTTTGTGTCAGTCATTGATTTCTTAACCCCTGTAGCCCAGATTACAGTTTATGATGAGGTTTCTGGCATTCTGCAAGCTTTCCCAAGATAATGAGTCTCCGTGTAAAGACGCAGGACTAACATTGAGGAACGTCTGCCACCTTCTGACCTGAACACATGCTTTCCCTGACTTGGTTGAACTATTTTGTTTTCCGCAGAGCAAACCTGACCAAGTGTAAGCAGCAAGAAAGAAACCAGTCAGAGAACGGCTGCTGTGTTGTTGATGATGTTGAGGTCACGTCAACTACAGCTTCCTATGAGCAGCAGATCTGAACCTTGGCCTGTCTTGAACCATCCTCACCATCTCATCTGTGCCCAAGCCCATTGTTACAGTCCGTGTGTCAGTCCAATGCCCTGAGGGTCTTCGTCTCTGTCTCTGACCCTCCATCTTTGCCAGTTGGTGTCTTTTCCCAAGGACTAGTCCCTCCTGTTTAACACATCTAAAGTACTTGGTTCCACAGTCAACACTCTTGGTAACAGCAGCCAGGAAATCAGGAGATTGGGAAAGTCAGCTATGAGGTACCTCATAAGAATACTGAAGAACAATGACGTCAGGCTGGAGACTAAGGTGCGCCTGATCCAGGCTATAGTCTTTGCAGTTATGTGCTATGCATCAGAGAGTTGGACAGTGAATAGGGGTGATAGAAAGAGAATTGATGCCTTTGAGTTGTGGTGCTGCAGAAGAGTGTTGAATATACCATGGACTGATAGGAGAACAAACAGGGTTGTCCTGGAGAAGGTGAAGCCAAATGTTCCCTGGAGTCAAGGATTCTGAAGCTTCGTCTGACATACTTTGGGCATGTTGCAAGGAGGGACTGGTCCTTGGAGAGGGACATCATCTTTGGGAGAGTGGAGGGATGGCGCAGGAGAGGAAGACCCTCAATGAGATGAATCGATTCTGTGAGTGGAGTGGTGAGAATGAGTGTGTTTGAGACGGCGAGGTTGGCGCAGGATAGAACGGCGTTTAGGGCTCTTGCACATAGGGTCGCTATGAGTCGCAAATGACTCGATGGCACGTAACAACAAAAAACAAAGTATGTAGACGAAGCCTCACCATCCTTGCTTCTACAGAGCACCCTAGTTGTACTTCCTTCAGGATGTCATTTATTGGAATTGAGTGAGGTGAACATGATTTTCCAAAATTTGTTCTTAAAAAATTTGTCCTTGTTTTACAGTGTTCTTGAGAATATACACAGCAAAACATGGACCAATTTCGCTGTTGTACAAATACCTTTTTAGTGACATAGCTAGCATTCTTTGGGTTGTGTGGCCTTCCTGTCCTGCCTTGCTGATTTGTTCCTTCCCACTGACATAAACTCACTGTCCCTCCCTTGCGGTGCCTTTGAATCTTTCACATTGCTGTTGTCAGTTTCATTCCATTATAGACACTTTAAAAAAAACATACTGCTCACAGCACCCTTTTACTAATTAAGCTAAACTACTTCTGCCTTTTAGGAAGACTTCAGGGAATATTTTTTTATTTGAGGTTTAAAGATTATCTCCAGACTATAGTTTTAGGGCTTTATCTACTCTTCCCTCACCACCTCCAGCTACAGAAAGCCTGGAGTCCATGAGAGTTTGAAATTCTCTATTTCTCCCCTTTTGACTGATAATCTGTGAGATCTTTGATCAGATTGGTCAGTGATGATGACCTGGTGCCGTCCGGTTCTTCTGGAGTCATGGCACATGAGACCACCGTCAACCACACATTCTGTATCTACCTCCTTTTCCCTGTTGTTCTAGACCATGTGTGCCTTAGGGGCACTCGCAAACTTTTAAGACCCCAGTCGCTACACACCAGATTAGGTGGTAGAATAGAGATATTGGGCCAGGTAACAGAAATGTCTCATGAATCCATGACCCTTAAACTCCTAAACTAAGGAATCCCATTGGGCATTTGGTTGTGTAGAAGTAAACTTGGCAACTACTCTTCTCTTTTCTTTGTCATTGTCATAAATACGTCTATCACATAGTTTTGGCCAATTCAGCTTTTTACAGGTTTTTATAAAGTTTTTTCATCAAGTTTATTTTGTATACATTTGAGTTTTTCCTTTTTTTAAAAAAAATATTTTTATTTTTGTATTAGGGGAGTAGAAAAGAAATCAGCCCCTATACTGGGCCCTACTCAGTGGCAGCTTCTTGTTCCATAGGGTTAAGGAAGACTTTGAGGAAATAAAAGTTGTTTGGAAAAATCCAGACATAGTTGCTTTGTATGTTGTGATGTGCAGAAGGGATGAAGTAAAGTGTGAAGGCCCCTCACATTCTCCCTCTTGCCTCAGACTATGTCCTAGAACCCTGGGGCAGGGGAAAGCGCCGTTCTCGTTCTTACTTCTTGGGATTGTTGACGGCCACATAGTGGTAAAGAGCGGCAAGCAGGAAGAGTGACACGCCCAGCATGTTGGCTAAGACGTCGAGCTGCACGTCCGTGATCATCCTGACCCGCCGGGCTTGGCCCCGATGCTTGCCATGAGCAAGTTCCAGGCCGAGTTTTTTCCTTTTCATATGGGTGAAATCATGCAGTTTTTCTCCTTTGTTGGTTAATATACTCATAGTGCCTTCATGTCGTCTTCAGGCTTTGTCCATGATGTAATGTGTGGCAAGACTTCTCTGCTGACCGAGAGGTATTCATTGGATGTGTGTCCACATTTTGCTTGTCCATTCCTCTGTTGACAGGCGTTTAGGTTATTTCCTCCTTTGGGATGTTGTGAATAAGTGCAACAGCATTCACTCTTTTAGCACATACTTATTGAGTGCTTCATTGCACTGTCAGGCTAAAAACCAAAAGGTTAGTGGTTCAAACTTACTAGCCATTCCAGAGAAGGAAGATAAGTAGTCTCCTCTCTTAAAGATTTCGAGCCTTTGAGAACCGATGGAGTGCTGCCACAGGTCAGAACTGACTTTGGTTTTTTGGGGTTTGGTAGACTATTAAATTTGTTATTTTAAGCCCATCTGGGAACATCAGGCACTAGTTCCAGCCCTGAAGGAATGTGCATTCCAGCAGGGAGATCAATAATAAACAATGTGCATATTGCATACACTATATACTATTATTTAAAATCATATGGATTATAGAGGAAAAAGAATCTGAAAAGGGTACGTATTCACCAATGTGAAGTGAAGGTGAGAGAATTAAATGGCAGGCTGGGTTTGTCCATTCCTGTACACTCTTAATCAATCCAGATCAGTGATCAATGTTTCACTTGTATTCTGATACGAGCCACACATGCAGCCCAGCGCTCTCCCAGATCCTAACCATCTGGAACTAGTTCAGACTTTACAACTTAAAAAGACATGGTTCTCCAGACTACCACACCTCCCCAGGACCTCAGACGCAGGTCGTGAGATTAGCGTTACCACAGCACCCTTCCTTCTGACCTGCTTCCTCACGTCCAGTGACTGCTAAAGTGACTCATCTCACACAAAGTGTTATTACAGGCAATTGATACAAGCGAGAAGACTAATAAGACCAAGTTTGAGAAGGTTCCCGCCATGGAACTGCCATGTCGCCAAAAGAGGTGCACTCTGACGTGTTCCAGTGTCTTTCATCAACCATGAAGCCCAGGGAGCTCCCATGTCTACAGCTTTGACTGGGAGAGAGAGAGAATCCCATCCCCATTCCTTTGAGGCCGGTCTGTGTCATGAAGTTGATCGCACTAGGTTGCTATCAGACTATCTGGTGAGTCTGGCATGGTCAACCTCCACACACCGTGAGTCATCTAGCCTTCGGTGTAGTCTCGAGTCCTCATCAGAGGTACTTCAGGGAAGTCTAGAGTTTAGAAGCATATATTTCAAGAACAAAATGTAAACTCTTGCCATAACGTTAACTTCTTTACTCCATGATGGTTAGAATAAACTTCCGTGGCAAACTAAAATTTGAGCAGTGCAGGAGTGCCTTGAGGAGAGGCCTAGAAGGTGGGGGGTAGGCCTGAAACGGGATGAGTGAGGGACAGTAGTAGGAGAGGAAGTCTGAAGTTGTTACTTTCAACTATAGGCTGTGAAAAGTTCAAGAGGAGCGGGTTTGCAGGAGTTGAGAGGGCATCGTGTGGAGATGCCCAGTGTGACACTGAGATGGCTGGAGAGGGGAGAGATCTGGCAGTGATAGGCATCTAGTGTGGGACTGGATGAAGTCATCCAGGAAGAGTTTGTGGAGGGAGAAGAGAAAGTGCACAGAGTGGAGCACATTCCCAGATGCCTTCAGAGCAGCTGACATCAACAGTCAGACACGTCCAGCCTCTGGGTGTTCAGTCCACTGCCCCACGGACCTGGACACTCCAGAAATCTGAGTACCCTGAACGACTGAAAATACAAATGACAACAGGCAGGGGGACTAGGTTAAAGAGATCAATTTTCTCTTTAATATTTTTCAGACTCTAGAGCTAGTAGAGTATAGGATTATCGTTTTTATTGTTGTCAAGTTCTCTTTCACAGTGACCTTGAAGAAGAATCTAGAACTGCTTGGTAGGGTTTCCAAGGCTGTAATCTACTCTTCACAGGAGCAGATAGTGGGTCTGAACCACCTGCCCTTCAGTTAGGAATAAAATGTTTAACTATTGTGCCCAGCAAGCAGTTCTGCTCCTGAAGATGTGCTCTGAAGAATTTTTTTTTAGTTAGTTTTAATGAAAGTTTACAGAGACTTAGGGTTTCTAGTCATTCATTGTTGCACTTTTCTCCCTACCCACCCCCTTCTCCCCAGTTCACTCTTCTCCTTGAAAAGAAAGAAAAACTCCCTCATTGTTATGCAGTCCCCCCCTCCAAGTCTACTCCACTATGCGGCATTCACTCTGGACTTTTGTAATAAGAATAACCATTCATATGTCCCTTTTAAACAGTTCTCTCCCTCATCTGTTTCAATGCAATATACATCATTCCGCCCCTCCTTTTCTGTCATCCCTCAACCCTGATGTCAGTCCCATTTTACAACAGTGGCACTATGCAATATTTGTCCTGCTCAAAAGAATTTAAACTGATGTTCAAAAGAAAACTTGTGCACAGATGTTCACAGCAGCATTAATCACAATCGCCGAGAGGTGGAGACAGCCCAAATTCCTCTCCTGCTGCAGGTGCAAATGAAATGTGGATCTGCTCACGCGTATGTTTTCAGCTCTAAAAATCCATGAATAATTTATGCTACAACCCGGCTGAACCTTGGGAGCATCATGCTTCGTGAAAGAAGCCAGTCAGCAAAGGCCACCCATTCTATGATCCTATTTATGTGAACTCTTCAGTCAGCAAGTCCAAAAGGACAGAAGGCAGGTGGGTGAAGCAGTGAATGCTGACAGACACAGGGGTTTACTCTTGGGTGATGAAAATATTCTGGAATGAAATTGCAGGGAATGATTATTAGTTTGGAGGGGGTAGGAAGGAAGCCAAACATAAAAATATTTATTTGTCACTAAAGGTTGAGCAGAGAGTAGAAGCAGCGACTCCCAAGTCCAGACTCAGCAAGATTGCCATTTTTCTCACGGGAGGAGATTTGCTCTCCTTCTCCCGCTGTCCAGGTTCTAGAGACCATGTTTTCAGACACATGATAGAATAAGATTTGGGATTACAAGCAGTGTTGGTTGTCCATTGCCTGTCAGGCATCATGCTCTCAGACCTCACCAGTCACGTGCCATTTACCTCTTTCCAGAATTCTGAACCTATCTTATCCCTGCAGCAAATTCTTCTCACCTCTCAAATCTCCAACACTCTGTGGCTCTCTCTGCTCCCCAGTTCTCACTCCCATGCTACTGCTGTGCTTCTTGGGTGCCAGTTTTCTCCAGATGAAGTTATTTATTTGCATAGCTGGGTTTTGTAGATAAATAAGGATATAAAACTTATGTGTATCTGTCTCCTCAGTGCACTCCTCTGCACTCTGAACATAATAAATTAGAGTGGACTCGATGGATTTCTCATTTAATCATAGCCTTTTGTGGTACTTATTAGTGTCCTCGTTTAATCAGTTGGGGTTGCTCAGAGAATGAAAAGAACTCAGATTTTTAAAATTATTAAGTGACAGCGGCACCCTCTTCACCCACTGTTAGAAACATGGATCCAAAATCTTCCTGGTGAAATCTGGACTCCAGCTTTCCAAGCAATGCTCAGAGATTCCAGTATTGTCTAAAGTTGAAATTTTTGGATTCCGCTGAGCTTTAAAAATTCACATGTGATCACCAACTAAGAAACAAATTAAGACAGTTTAAGTGCCTACCAACTGAGAGACTGTTTCTCTGAATGCTTACATAGAGAATCTGCTTTCAATTTCAAAGGAAAACATTGCCTGAGAGAATATGCAAATCTGCAGAGACTGAAAGTAGATTAGTGGCTGCCTAGAGCAGAGACTGGAGGTGTGGGTGACTGGGACTGATTGCTACTGGTAGGTGATTTTTCTTTGGAATGCTGAAATTCTCTAAAAGGAGATTGTGGAGGTGGTTGCAAAACTCTGAATATCATTGACTCCTACACTTTAAATGGGTGACTTCGTATGTGAATCTTATCACAGAGCTGTTATTATAGATGACATGGTGTAGACTGAGAATTCCAGAACACTTAATGTGCTTATGGGTAGCCTGTCATAGACTAAGAGTCATTCATTAGAACAAGGGGATATTGCATTGTTTAAAATCAGGAAAGGTGTTCATCAGGGCTGTATCCTTTTTACATACTTATTCATTCTGTATACTCAGCAAATAATTAAAAATGCTTAATTCTCTGAAGACCACAGCATCCACAGAATTGGAAACTCATTAACAACCTGTAATATGCAGATGACACAACCTTACTCTCTGAAAGTAAAGAGAACCTAAAGCACTTAGGATGACTATCAAAGGCTACAGTAGCTTTTAGTATTGGCTACATTTCACATAAAACAAAAATACTCATAATTGGACTTAAGCAACATGATGTTGTTGCTGTTGATTGCCATCAAATTGAGCAAGACTCATCGCGACACTATGAACAAAAAGCTTGAAGCCTTTTTATAATTATTGTCATTTATCAAAGTTCATAGATTTTTTTTCTAGAGGCATATTGTTTAAGAAGTGGATGATAGAAAAAAATACTAAACTTGGATTTAATTTTACTTAGATCCACAGTAAGCCTTCATGAAAGCTGCAATCAAGATATCTGGTGATGAAAAAAAAATTTAGCAATGTATTTCACTGAGAAATTCTCATGCAAAGACTTCTTTAAATTGCTAAAAAGCAAAGCTGTCACTTTGCAAATTGAGGCGCACCTAGCTCAAGCCATGGTATTTTCAGTTGTCTAATATTCATGCAAAACACTGGACAATGAATAAGGAAAATTGAAGAATTGATGCATTCTGATTATGGCATTCACAAAAAATAACGAATGTCCCCAGTAAGCTGGACCCTATGAAGAGGAATCAGGATTGGAGAGTCACTCATCAACAACCCACTTTATGCAGATGACACAACCTTGCTTGCTGAAAGTGA